AACTTCGCCCACGCTGTGCATATCCAACTAAATGCACCACCGAGGCACGTACATGTACCTTAGCTTCACTGATAAAAGTTGAAAGTTGCTTCATCAATTACAGACATAAACAACTGTATCGATTCTAGGCTACAAATTGTAATTCACTTTGCTGAGCTGATGAGGTTTGATCATTTGATCAAATATTAAGAGCGATTTGTCCAGAAATTTATTCCTTCGTGTGTCATAAGTTGGCAATGGCAGTACAGAAACTTTGGTACGGTGAAACAGCGCCCTCTGGAAATTGAAATTGCTGCACTGACAACCTCCCTCCACCAATACACATACATGTTTCATTCATCATACATATACTCTCTCCATGAACATTACAATTCTGCTAGTATAACACTTACTTGTTAAAATGCTGTGATACTCAAAATTTTCAACTTTTATAAATGAAATTATGGTATGTGCCTCGGTGGTGCATTCTGTCGGATATGTACATGTACAGTGTGGGCAAAGTGGTGCATGGGCGAAGTGGCAAATGGGTGAAGTGGCAAATGGGTGAAGTGGCAAATGGGTGAAGTGGCAAATGGGCGAAGGGGTAAATGGGCAAAGGGGTAAATGGGTGAAGTGGCAAATAGGCGAAGTGACTGTAAAACTGCAAAGCATAGTACTAGTAGGCTTAGTCATGTTGATTGTGATGTGGACTGTCCTTCTCCATCATGGTTTGGGTGTTTGTCACAGTGTCAGCTAACTGTCACGACTGTGGCCTGATCAGGGCTGACTGCGTAGTCCACAGCAGTTCGTGTAACTTGAATCCTACGAATATTTTTTAACATTTGGACATGTAGGGCCTAGACCTACATGTACACGTATGGTAGGGCTACTCAGACTACTTCAATTCTTTGGGTTAGAGTCCCATGCCAACACACAATCTAGGACAGTTTATTGCCTGCAAATGGCTGATAGGTCACTGCAGGGAAAAATGGGTGGCGGCTGTATGTATGGAATTCTTTCCAGCCTGTATTAAATTGGCAGACGCATTCTGCTGTACAGGGGACACTTCAAACCATTTAGACTAGTCTGAGTTGGTCTCAGTGTTTACATAGATCCAGCTCATCTAATTAAACAGGATGTGTCTTACGCATCTCTCCTTCCTGGTTTCTTCCCCTCTTCTCAGTATTTTAGAGATGTGCAAGGACGAGGCTAAAGGCGTAGCCGATGCTTTCATTAGGCAGCAGCTTCCTCACATAGATGCCCAGCAGAGAGTCAAAGCCATCAATCGCCTACTGTCATTGGTAAGGTGCCATTTTTTGGTTTTGTTTATGTTTTTGTAATTTTTGAGCGCATGAAAGGGTATTTTTTCTCCGTTCCTCTCATCCGTGTAGAGTTTGAAAGGAAAGAAAACAGGATGATCTATTATTTTTAGTTTTAATATTTTTGCAAACAAAATATATATTTACTGTTACCTGGTTGACAGATATTTTTTTCTAAACAGCCGACATTAAACCCATATCTTGTAACTGCTCAATGCTCCCCTTTGGCTTTGGAGCAAGTGGCATTATTGTTTAAGTGATTAGCCATGAAGATGCATGATCACAGTTTGATCCCTGGATTAGATTGGCCGATTTGCAGACTCTCTTTTTTTGGCACTTGCTGTTTTTTGGGTTTTAAATTGAATCCAAATGAAATAACAGGATAATTTTTCATTTTGTTTTGGTGATGTGTTACTCTAGCACTTTGTCTGGCTTCCATTTCTTGCATGCAAATTCACATTGACAAGGTAGACAGGTGGAACCAGATGAAGATTTGTCAAGTACCAAAGACATTGAGTGCCCATGTTCATTTGCCTGAACATGTTCTATATAGCAGCAAAACTATATATCTGTACTGCATAGTATTTTACTTATGACAGTAATGAGGAAAAATGGATGACTCCTAAGGTCTAAAATATGCTGACTACAACAGCACAATAGACAGTTATCATTTGTCAGCCATTTTGAATTGAAAGTGATGTTCACTTTTCATTTTCAGAACCCGAAAGTAAAAATAACGGCAACAGAATAAAATTTATGACAAAACAATACCAGTTTACATTTACCAAAATTTAGTAAATGTTTTAAGCCGCGTTTAAGAAAAACGAAAGTGGGGCTTGGAACCCAAAATAGTCTGGCACCTCCCCTATATAAGATTACATTGCACACAATATATTCCGGGAACACAATTGAAAATGACTTACTGCATGAATAAGGTCTTTTGTGATCTAGACCAGAAATGTACAAGGTAATAGCAGTCTCCTTGTTGAGGACTGGTTGTTGATGATTGAAAAAAAAGTGATTGGCTCTTTAACCCTAACCCTACATAGTACTACGAATTACTAGTTGTAGTAAAATTAATATTCAGTCTTGTCGCTTGTAAGAGGATGTGACCTTATTGTTCTCTGAAGCTATAAGATAAAATAGAAAAGACAATGTACCATACAGTGCTGTGGCACTATGAATGCATGGCTTTATTATTCTCTGTACAAGTAACAATGGAAGTAACCTAGCCAGAAGTAGTAATTTGTAGCGCTAGGTCCTTCAGGCTCAGACTATTACTTAGTAGTTTGTAGTACTGTGTAGTGTAAGCCAAACAATATGCTTGGCAGTTAGGGTTAATGTGCTGTTTATTTCCGTTTGCCTTCTAACATTGCTTATAAGGTTACTTCCTAGATATCTTAAAAGCTTTAAGAAGTCTTACGAGCTATTTCCAAGTGTCCCAGTCCTGTTTTCATCTGTTTTGACAAAAAGCTCAATGAAATATGTGTGTTTTGTGTATTTATTCACATTGCTTGTTGTCTACTAAGTGGACAAGTGTAACTTTCTTTTTTCTTTCAATCCAGGGCAAGATTGATCTCGTGAAACAAGGATCGGAACTGTTATACAGACTCAAAGATCCGTCCTCCATTAGGTTAGTAAAAAACATGTAATTCATTTTGTAAATGGCCGTTCTTATGGATATTCATGAAATCCAAAGACACTGCTTGCGCATGGTAATTTGTATTCAGCAAAGGTTGCAGATTTTGCAACTTGAATTCGCACAAATCTGCATAGCCTGCAGTGCTGTGTGTGGGCCCCTGATATTGAAATGTCTTTCGGTAACAGTAATTGCATTTCTAGAACTAAGGGCAAACTTGTGCATGGAGCTCACCTGGAGCACATGGCCTTTGGTTCACATGGGCCTTTCTCTGAAACAAGGCGAACACTTTACTGTACCCTCCAGGCCACAGTTAAATGCGACCAAAACCTCCTTTGCCTCAAATATGGCAAGATTTAAAGCTTGTTTGTTCTGTACTAAGATTTAAAGAGCATTGGTAGTCTTATTACTTTTTCTTCGGCGCAATTTTTCTGCAACTTTATACAAAGACATGTATATTCTTTCTGAAGTTTGAATTTAAGAATGTATTTCAGAGACCCTTTAACAGCACTGAAGCGGTGGATCATTTTTATAACTCAACCATTTAAAAAAACTTTAATATGGATGTGTCTTTCTTGTGTAGTAAAGTGAAAGGTGTGGACAACCAGGAGAGACTGGTCTACCAGATCATCGAGGAGGCTGGTAACAAAGGCATCTGGATCCGTGACATCCGCCTTCGTAGTAATCTCCTGCTCACGCAACTCAATAAGATCTTGAAGACGTTAGAGAGCCGGAACCTCATCAAAGCCGTCAAGTCCGTCGGGGTGAGCGGATGGTTCTTAGGTCGTGTCACTTCTTTCCACAGTCCTCCCAGTGCTCTCCACATTTCACTGAAATATAAGAGACCTTGCACAAGGTAGAGAGCGGGACATATGGCCTGATCTCATTTGGGCACAACACAGCTTGAGTAGGGAAGAAGATGGAATTTTGTTATCTTGCTGTTGCCACCGTTGGACTTGAATAAATGTTGTGCTATGCTGGGCATAGATTGTCAGTATGCCTGGGAACCCAATTTTGCTTTGTGATGTAAGGGGTCATACTGATTGGTCGATCTGATGCACAGATCTTGTAGCCAAATCTGTCAGCTGATGACGCTGTAAATGTTTTAGCCACAGTTATGGATGAATGTTTTCAAATGGAAAATGTCAGAGATTTTCTTCAGGATTTACCAACAGTGCAGTACAATCGAGCGATCATGCAGATTGACCAAATGTGCTTGATAAGAACAAGTGTTCTGTGCCCCTGAATCTGCGGATGCAATTTTGATAGAATCGTTGTGACATTAGCTTACCAGAAACTATGGTACTGGCAAGGAGTTAGGAGTTTCAATGCAAGAATGATTTTAATGATTTGGTATAAATTTGGACTGCTTTCCAAGGGGGATCTGTTGACAGTTCTGCTTGTCGTGAAATAGATCCCACGCATCGCCTCGCAAGTGAAGATTTTATTCTGTACCCAAGTCAAAGGAACCATTATATGATTACTAGCAGCTCATTATTGTGCAGAGCTTGAAAGATTTTGGTTTCCTCTAATAAGTTCGATCGGGGGCCATTTGTTAACTACCGGTTGATTTTGCCTGGTGCCCAGTGTATATTTCATGCATAGGTTACCAGTCGAAACTGGCTGTTAGTTGACAATTTGGTGGCTGGTCGAACTTGTCCCATGTAGTACATTCACTGTTTCTCTATCCTCCACACATCCAGGCCTCCAAACGCAAGGTGTACATGCTGTTCAATCTGGAACCAGACCGGTCGGTGACGGGAGGTGCCTGGTACAGCGACCAAGACTTCGAGTCGGAGTTCGTGGAAGTCCTCAACCAGCAGTGTTATAAGTTTCTCCAACAGAAGGTACTTGTAAATTCACAGAGGGAACGTCAGTGACTTAGATTATACATGGTTAGGACTCTCAGCACCCAGTCATAGGGTGAGGGGTTCGAATCTTGCAGCTGGTTACATCACTTCACTCTCACGTGCCACTCTCCATCCAGGGGTAAATGGGTCCCTGTGAGGTCAGTAATGGCCATTGTATCAGTAAGCTGTTGGCACCTGATATTGTATTCTTCCCTGGGTGCTGAGATGGTTTCTGGAATGTCCTGATGTCGTTAGACGAATGAGCAGTGATAGTAATTATGTAACACCTTGAACATCAGTCATAGTAGGCAAGTGGACTTTATAAATACCCATTATTATCATTATTGTAATCATTATAATTGTGCTGTAACATGCTTCGTTTTTCTGTCATTGGTATTAAATGCAACCAAAGGGAATGGTACTGATATTTTATCGGCAACATCTGAAAGTCACACAGTTAGCTTTTGCTTGTAGTAACACACATGTCTGTAGGATCTGGCCGAAGCTGGCTCACTAGAAGCTTCAGTAGGCGGGAATGCCAGTGCTAGCCAAAGCCAAAGCCAAAACCTCCAGACTCAGGCCTGGTTTGTTTGCTCAGAATGGCCGTTCAGCAAGAGCTGATGATCAGTATTGCCCCCTTGGCGAAACCAAAGGGGCATACTGCATTTGCCTTGTCCTTCTGGGTCTGTGTGGTTCCATCTGTCTGCCATTCTATCCTCAGTCAGTTTTTCACCGTAACTCAAGAAGGACTTTGCATCAACTTCAAACGTGGTTTGTGGGTTGTCTTGGTGTCCCACAGAAGATGATAGGTTTGGGACCCCATAGGTCAAAGGTCAGCTCAGTCCCCATCATGAAATGTGGCAAAGGGGGAAACCCCCCCCCATATGATGCATAAAGTATATACCTAAGGCTGTTATGCCTACTGCATCCCTCCGAAAATCTGAAAGGAGTTCCCAGTAGTCCCACAACACAAACGTAAACACAAAAGAAGACACAAAAGGAGGCCCTCTTCACCACATATCGTGCATCCTTTTTTTTTTTCATTTTAAAATCCCATTACAGACATCATTATGGCTTCCATTATGGATGGTGGACTTACTAAAACTCATTTAATCCAAACTTACTGTCCAGTGGATATACATGTATGTCCTGGTTTTCCTTGTTGATTAGGCTGATCTAGCTGCCGAGTCCCAGCTGGACCCAATTCTGAGACGCAACCAGTCCTACGGGTCCTCTGAAGACGTCTGGAAATTCATCCGAGAACTTGGCATTAGCAAGGTGGGTAAAACTAATTGTTTGATGCTGAGATTTTATAGTGCAATACAGTAGAGTACAGTACATTGTAGAGTATATGTCATTGAACCTCTCAATATTATGCAGCAGCTGAGAAATATTGTAGGTACTGATGGGTCACAAGTGAAAAATTGGAAAATTGTTAAATAAAATTTAAGCAGGACATTCGCAACCAATCTTGTGTTTTTTACATTTTTTTCACACAACTGTTGCACGAGTTCTTTTGAGAAAAAGGAAAGCCCCACAATTCACTCTTGCTACATGTGCCTTTGTGAAGTGTCAGTTTCTTAAAGGGTGCTTTTTTTAGTGTTTTAGTTTTCTTGATTAACTCAGCTTGTATTAAACTTGTATTAAAGGATTAAGAATTCAGAGGTTTAAATTACATCTTTTATCAAAATTAAAGGCCCATGCACTTCAAGTTCAGCTCACAAATTTGTAAAATGTTCATTTTTTCGTTATCTCCAGTTGGCTATTTCTGTTTTTGGTTACTTTGGACAAGTCCATGTAGCTTCTCAAAAGGAGTTCCCCATTTGTTGAATAGTGCCCTCTTGTGACAAAGCACTTTTGATGTCAGTGTTGTTTAAATTATTATTTTGCTTTTCATGCACAAGTGCATTTTCAACGATCCCTCAGAGTTTGATCACTAAGAAACTTGTATGTCTCAGGGATCATGTGTAATTTAAGGGATAAACGTCGGTCATCTTTTCATGTTCTTCCAAGGTACATGTACATGTATGAACTTTCTAGTTATTATCTGCTAATACATGTATGCTTCTTCACCAGAAATGTAATTTCGGATCTCAGGGTCTTAAATTATGTTAATTTTTCTCAATTATGAGAATTTTCTTTTTTGGGGGTTTCCTTTGCAAATCGGTTTCAGCTGTTATGAGCTGCACATGCATTCATGTTTTATGAGATGTACGTACATGTATGTGTTATATCCCGCATGTGAAAATGTGAATTTCCTAGTAATGAGCAAGGAAACAAATTCCTTGGTTTTGTGTCCCATTTTCAAGCACACCCAGACAAACACGAACCTGCTTCAGATTCATTGCATGTAGGCAGCTTACCGATGCAGCAGTTAAAGTTGCACTCACCAAATTCAAATTTCGGTTGGTGTTGACAGGTCCCTTCTAGTCTGTGGTCAGCAAACTTGACATGCCCGGTTACATGTATCTCAGATCACAGCGTTAGTACTGTAGACCCAATAGGGCCTTGCCCTGTTTATTGTTAGGGTCAAAGCCCATGCAGCTTTAAACGACATTGCTCCTTTCAGAAGTAATACGTGGATTTGGCATAAACTGGACTAAAATGCTGCAATATGTGCATGTGTAGCTGTCTCTCTCATTGAGCTTTCCATTTAATTTTTATTATCGGTAATGGGTTTTACCCTTATAAGGAGAGCTTGTGATATATGTTCACAGTCTTGCTTAGGTGGGACTTGAACCCATGACCTCCTGCTTGCTAGTGCAGACTTCTAAAGTACTCGCCCACCAAGCTTGCCAGGCTCAGCTGGCCGGTCACAGTCGGATGTAGGGGGGGTACAAACAAATAAATATAGGTCAGTGTAAAGGCAAAACCCATAATTGACAAAAGAGAATCTCCAGTTCTTCTTCATGTAACTAGGCCGGTGTTTTGGTTGAATCGGGCTCAGGTGTTGATTGCTACATGTAGCTCCAGGGTTGCACACGTACACCAAAGGTGCAGTGCCGTGAACCAGTGGTACACGGGAACCTGGGAGCAGCTAGGTGGAACCTGGATCTCTACGCCCCCTCAAACAGCTTGACCCTCCTTGTCCAAGTTGTGACATTGGATCCCATCGCCCAAATCCCACAGCCAGGACTCTGTGATGACCTTGACTGTGAATCTGAAAACTGTTTTCAGTAGCCTTGTTTTTGTGTGTTTGTGGGAGCCATTGTTCTGCCAACGCTTTATAAAGTGATTTTGTGCACATGTGTGTATGGTATGTTGAAAGATAATCTGGCTGAGGTTGCATGCATTGCAGCAGCATTGGGATAATATTGTGCATGTACATGTATGTGCATATATTCTTTTTCAAACCGATTGTCTCTGTGTGGTAAATCATTTGTCACATTCTTCAAATGTTGCAACCAAGTACAGGAAAATGGTTTGTCAAAAGTCGCATTACCTTACATACATGTATGTACATGGAACATGTTGCAAAACCCTCGCGCATACATGTAGAATACAGTGTACCCTTTAGACATTGCTTACATGTACAGTAGGAAGGAAAGAACTGATTCTTGGTATTGTCTCAGAATAGCCTTTGCACTATTTCGAAATAATCATTGAATGATATAGATATGGTAGGAGTGAAGTCACTTTAATTGATTCTGAGCGACACCGAAGGAGACATTGACCTGGGGTCTGTCTTCAAATCCAGCAGTGTCGCACCATCTGTCAGTACAGATCAAGTGCCATACTCCCAATCTTAACTACATGTGTGTGACATTTCCGACATTACATGTATATATGTTTCGGAGCTGTTGAGGCAGATGTTACAGAGCAATAGCAGAATCCAGTCTGGTTCCGGGGACAGGTCACAAGAGGATGTATAAATACCTCTCCATATTAAGTTCAGTTAGAGCCGGTGCCTGGCATACCACTCCTTTTTAGGGTGGACTGACTGCAAGGGACCTGTAAATGAGATGCGGATTTTCCCTGGCAGTCTGCACTTGATTGGATCCTGCTGGGACTAACACAGCAAGGTACATGTACTGTACATTGCATTCTAGTACATGTACGCGTAATTGGCATGTGCCAGTGGATTCATTATGCCATGGGTACATGTACCAGTAATATGGTACACGTAGGCCTATGCGCAGGATGTGGTTTGGATTAATTAATCCATGTGCATTGGTAATGTCGAGCCTGGGCTGAGTTTTAATTCCCAATAATTGTTTTTGTTTTTCTTTTTTTGTCTTGTTTGACACTGTGGGGGATATAAACATTGCAAGTGATAAAATAAAGATCCGGCCACTGTGATTGAAAAGCGTGTGTCTGCATTGGTCCTTAATTGCGACTGTAATGTAACTGTTCACAGCTGTGTGATGCTAAAGAATGCAGAAGTACATTCACCACAGCCACCCAGTCGAAAGCAGTCGTCCTATACATGTACATTGCATTCGCTTGCCCAACTGTCTGGAAGATCAACTTGGTCACTGTTTTCAGATGCGCTGTGGAAAATATGAAGCTGTTCTTGGCAATTTCACCAAATCAGTCACTAGGTGTGGAATGTAGGCCATCTGTAGCAGCAATGGCCACTCCTTCTTCGTCTTAGCCCCAACCAGCATGTACTTACCGTAGTCCCACATTTTCATTTCCTGGTCAGTCAAGAACAAGCAAAGCTACATGTATGACCCGGTCACCTTTCGTTTGTTAAACAAATGATCCTTGTGTTCGTGTAAGTTTACGAATGTGTTTGTGTCATCACTGCATGTTGTAGCTATTTTTGTCATACTTTAAACATTCCTTGTTTTGAATGTTCCTACTTCCTTGTGGATTCCACTGCAAGGGTTTACAGGCACAGGATCTTTCGTGCAGTTAAATGTATCCAGTTCAAGTCATTAACAAAGTGTATGCTTTACCTCAGCTTCGTTTCGTTTGAGATCAACTTCAATTCAGATTATTGTTCTCCAATTGCTGATTCTTCCAAACAGATAAATATCCATGTCAAGGAAGGCTAGTGTCTAGTCTTTGTAATTGGAGATCTTTCCGTGTACAGGTACATGTATATGTCCTCCCTGAACATTTTCAACATTAGACAGGTTCCATACTTGGTAACTACACATGCATATTAATTTTGAAAACAAAAAGGCATGTTGAGTTGACATTGCGTATAATTCACGTTTGGCCAATACATGTATGTGCATTGTGCTGTTTGGCTGTTGCATTAGCCGGTTTGCAGTCATCCAAAAGCAATCGACTTGAGGAGACTATGGCTCATTATCTTTGGGAGGGAGAGAAGGTTTCAGATTACAGCAACCAAACTTTGGAACTCTTTATTAGGAATTTGTGAGACTATCGAAATCATTTGACACCATCAAGGACAGATTAAAATCATATCTGCATAGACAGGCGTTTGGTTAATACTTCTCAACTTATCATCGTTGGATGTCTTTGCTTATTATAGCGCAGTGAGCGCCGTTTGCAGTGGATACTGGCACTCTATAAATGTTCATTATTATTATAATTGTTACCATAAAATAGTGTTTACCAGATTCTATGCAGTTTTTCACTAAATTAAATCCATTAGTGCGTATTTAGTGAAGACAGTAACAAGTGTCCCAAAGCGAATCCAAGACATACGTAAAATCACCGGTGCCTTGGTTCAGGTTGACTCAAAACAAATGGGACGTCAGTTAACAATACATGTAACTCGGCATTTTCCATTATCTTGTTACATACTTTGCACCATGAGCAACTACAGATGAATGGTATGTAGAGTAAGTAAGTTGTAGCAATTCCTTCAGAAACTTACATTATTCACTAACATTGTACCTGTACATGTGGCAAGTTAGGAGTCATTCACTCATGTAAATGTACATGCACCGATATAATGTGTATTCTAGTGCACGTACACATGTACATGTACAGTACATACATGTACATGTATGCATAAAATAAAACACACGTGGCCTGATCATTTCCAGTCTAGCAAGAACAGTAATATCCTCAGTTAGTTTTGGGTATGTGACTGTTCACATGTAGTACATGTAAGTGTAAGTACACATGGCCAGATGCTTCTGGATCTCCGGACACTTTTGCAATTTTTGTTGCCAAGTTCTCACTTGCATGTACCAGTATACACGTAGGAGCCCATAGTTACAAGTTCTGTCGTCATTCCTGAGCAGACTATGTGCCTATACACTGGCACTGTAAAGGGCACGAAGCTTTCCGGTTTATTTTTGTATCGCAATGGTAACAAAGGTGAGGGGTGAAGCGAAAGAGAGAGTTGTTTTTCA